GCTCCAGAGCAAACTAATTTATGCCGTAGCCAAATCGCTCGCTCACAACTTCAATGCCAGCAGCTCACAAAGTAGAATTTTTGCTCACAAGACTCCGCAGCTTAGAGGGAGCATTGGACCCAGCAATGTTGGTGGGTTGTGCCGGAGGGCAGAAGCCCTTGGCCCTCTGTTGGGGTGGGGCAGGGATGGGCCGCCCTCTAGCCAAGACTAGGCGGCAACATCCCCAGGAGCAGAGGAATCCCTGCCGCTGCCAAGCGGTTTGGAGGCCCCCCTGGGGTGCAGGGAGCGGGCCTTTCCCTCACTCCTTTCCTTCTGGAAACAGGCAACCTTTTGCAACTGTCCCTTGACCAACAACTCTCAATGTGGGTCGATATTCCTTTCTCCCCCTGCACAGAGAATTTTCACCTGAAGGCTCATGAGGAGTTCTCCTCTTACCCTTTTAATCTTCACTTCAATCAGCGCTCTCCATTTTATCTCCCTCCACAGATCTGGAGAAAAGAGCTGGGAGCCATGGAAGTTCCTACTGAGGCCAATGGTGTTTGCCTTTCAGGTGCCTCACCACCAGACTCTCGGTTTGCCCAGGAGCTTTACAGGACAGCTTTCCCCAGGGTTAGGCTGGCTGGCAGGAGAGGGCACAGCCTTTTTGGTGGTGGTGGTGGTGATTTAGTGGGAGATCCCCACCTCCACAGCAAGGTGTGACGGCTCGTTCTTCCTCACTGAGGAACATTTTAGTCTAGCAAACAGAGATATTTTAACTGGATTCCTACGGTGGTGGACGTATATAGGAAATGTTACCTCCGTTGGAGCTGTGGTGGCTCAAGGGGTTAAGACGCTGAGCTGCAGGCTGTGGTAGGTCCAGTTGTTCAGCAGTTCGAGACCTGAGTGTGCCGCATGACGGAGCTCCCGTCTCTCGTTCCAGCTCCTGCCAACCTAGCAGTTCGAAAGCAAGACATTGCAAGTAGATAAATAGGTACCACTTCGGTGGGAAGGGAACAGCGTTTCGTGCGCCTTGGTGTTTAGTCATGCCAGCCACATGACCACGGAAACGTCTCCGAACAGCGCTGGCTCTTCGGCTTGGAAACGGAGATAGAGTCGGACTCGACTGGCTTTCGAGCAGGGGAACCTTTACCTTTTACCTCCGTTGTACTGATGTTATGGGACGCTGAGGGCAAAGTGGAATTCCTCTGAATGATGCCTACGGGAGGACGGAACCAGTGGGTGGCTCCCATTCCCCTGGAGGTGACCTGGTGCTGAAGGAGCCAAGGGGCCCCAACCGGAACAATGAAGGCGGCGGGGGGGGCCTGCACATTGGCTGGGCATTGTGAGACCCACCAGCAAAGTGCCAAGGGCAAGCACAGAGAAATCAGTGGAGATCAGAGAGAGTGGAGGAGGGTGGGTGGCAGTGTTCCCTCTAAGCTGAGCGAGTGTGAGCTAGCTCACAGTTTTTTAGCCTCCAGCTCACACATTTTTGTCTCCGCTCAGGGAGGAGGGCTCCAGAGAAAACTGATTGATGCAGGGGCCAAATGGCTCGCTCACAACTTGAATGCCAGTAGCTCACGAAGTAGAATTTTTGCTCACAAGACTCCACAGCTTTTAGAGAGAACACTGGTGGGTGGGTGAGTGGGTGGCTCACCAGCCAGAGGGGTGCCAACCTCCAGGAGGGGCCTGGAGACCTCCTGGAGACCACTCTGACCTGGAGCAAAGAACTAGGCTGTGGGGGGGGG